GTCCCCAATGGAAGAGAGAGAAAGAGAGTCCTTCCCACAAATCCATTATATTGCGAGCAAACCACACCCCTAAGGAAGTATCACTTTAATTGATTGGTTACACATAACCACTCATCATAGAGTTAACTCTGCCTGTATTAGGTTTCATTACCATGGGACCTCCCAACTGCTAAACCTTTGGAAATTCTGGCTTGATACAGAACCCTAACCATTGCACTTCCCCTTCTTAATGGGTGAAATGAAAAGGCTATGGTCAGGAAGGAAGATTCAATGAGATAACAAGAAAACTGCATAGCTAGATTCTTCTTCATTATAATAGATTTGGTTTTAAACTTGAAAAGTTTAAATCAGCTAAGTATTTTTGTATATATGTTTTATTCTACTTAGATAAAATCTAACAATACATTATGGCAAGAATGTTTCATTAAAAACACCCTTCTTAGATGTTAAGAAATAGGATTTCTATTGAATCAAAACATGAGTGATAAAATTAACTTTGAGTTATATGTTTTCTTTTTTAGCTGCTATAGTTTTTGTTTTGGTCCTGAAAGCATTTTCAAGAAATTGGTAAAGCATGGCTTTAGCAGATAAAAGACTTGAAAACTTGCAAATCTACAAAGTTCTTCAGTGTGTTCGAAGCAAAGACAAGAAACAGATTGAGAAATTGACCAAGCTTGGATACCCTGAGCTAATCAATTTCACAGAACCTGTGAATGGCCATAGTGCCCTGCACTTAGCCTCGGTTTCCAATGACATTGATATGGTCAACTTTCTCCTCGACCTTGGTGCTCACCCTGATGTGCAAGACAACATGGGCCGTACTCCAACCATGAAAGCTGCAGAGCTGGGCCATGAGTTGTCAGTGGAAAGATTAGCCAAGGCAAAGGCTGATATGACCTTAGTTGATCATGAAGGAAAAGGTAAAAATACCAGCATTCTGTCTAATAAACGTAATTCACCTTATAGGCAGAAACATTGAAAATGTACTTTTTAGATTTCCAATCTTAGAAGTGAATTGGATTAATGTATGGATTAAAATAAAAAGCTAAGTTTTCACTCCGGTACCTAGGGATATTGTCTTCCCATAATTTGAAAATAATATTTGTTGTTGTTGTTAGGTAAGTATTGACTCATAGTGATCTTGTGAACAACAGAATATGAGATACTGCCCAGTCCTGTACTTTATCTTCACAATTGTTATACTTGAGCCCATTGTTGCATGATATCCTTCTACAGGTACTGGTCCCTCCTGTCAACATGTCCAAAGTACTAGAGACAAAGTCTTGCCATCTTAGCATCTAAGGAGTACTCTGGCTATACTTTTTCCAAGACTATAATTGTTTATTCTTCTGACAGTCCATAGTATTTTCAATAGTATTCATCAACACAATAATTCAAATGCATGGATTCTTCTAAGGTCTTCTTTATTCACTGTCCAAAGTTCACATGCATATAAAATAATTGATAAACCCAGGGCTTGGGTAAGGCACACCTTAATCTTTAAATTGACATCTTGGCTCTTTAACACTTTAAAGAGATCCATTGCAGCGGATTTGCCTAATGCAATTCATTCTTTGATTTCTTGACGGATGTTTCCATGATTGCTAATTATGGAGTCAAGCAAAATGAAGTCATTGATAACTTCTGTCTTTTCTCCATTTATCATGTTATTTATTGGTCCAGGTGTGAGGACCTTTTCATTCTCTTTACATAAAAATACAAAACATAATGAAGACTACAGGTTTCAGCAAGCAAGGTGATGTCATCTGCATATTGTAGGTTTTTAATGAGTCTTCCTCCAATCCTAATGTCATATTCTTCTTCATATAATCCACCTTCTCTGATTTACAGATTTGAGAAATACAGTGAAAGGACACAATGCTGGCACACACGTCTCCTGATTTTAAGTCAGTCAGTATCCCTTGTTCTGTTCGAGCCACTGCTTCTTGGACTGTATGTAGACTCCTCATGAGCACAATTAGGTGCTCTGGAATGCCCATTCTTTACAATGTTATCCATAGTTTGTTATGATCCATACAATATAGGTCTATGGAAAATTACATTATCTTTTAATTTCATTTTCCATGAACTTTTGTCAAGTTCCTCTTAAATTAGCAAAATAAGTGTGAGAGCTTTATCATTTAAAAATGAAAATCTGAATTAGGTTAATCTATTACACCCTCGGAAACCCTGCACAGGGTCGCTATGGGTCGGAACCGACTCGATGGCACTTAACAACAACAACAACATACATGGTATTAAGGAGCTCTGGAAGCATAGTGGTTATGAATCGGGCTGTTAATCTCAGGGTTAGCAGTTCGAAACTACCAGCTGTCCCACGGGAGAAAGATGAGGCTTTCTGATCCTGTAAAGATTTACAACTTTAAAAACCCTGTACAGGGTTACTATGAGTCGGAACCAACTCCATGGCACATAACAAAAACAACATACATGGTGTTTTAACTATGGAGTATTTTCAACCAATAGATCTGTTTTGGAAGAAGTGTAGCCGGAGTGCTCATTGGAGGCCAAGATGGCTAAACTTCATCTCTCATACTTTGGACATATTGTCAGGATGGAACAGTCGCTAGAGAAGGATGTCATGCTGGGTAAGATGGAGGGTCAGAGAAAGAGAGGAAGACCCCCAACGAGATGGATCAGCCAGGTGGCATCATTGATGGCGTCAGATATGGCAGCGGTAGTGAGGCTGGCCCAGGATTGGACATTGTTTCTTTCTGCTGTGCATGGGGTCGCTATGAGTCAGTTCCGACTCGATGGCACCTGACAACAACAACAACATACTGTAACACAAATGGATGACTTGAACACCAGAAATTTATTCCATCATAGTTTAAGAGACTAGAAGTTCAAATTCAGAGTGTTGGCTCTAAGGGATGGCTTTCTCTTTTTGTCAGTGCTGGAGAAAGGTCCTTGTCTCAGCATTACTAAACCCAACATTCCTTAAAGATCTCCATGCATCTTGGCATTAGTCTTCCCCTAGATCTAGGAGCTTCACACTGCATGGAATCCAGGACTAAAAGATGCACTTTACTAGCAGCTCTTCTTTCTTGGTGATAGTAGATCCCTCTGAGTGCTGCTTGATTGTTATATTCTTTTATATCTCTAGAGAGATTGACTCATGATACAACCTAATCCTCTAGACTGCATTGGTCCTCACTTACATCATGGAAATGAGAATTTAAACACATAGAATAATTACATCAATTCAGGGCTGATCACATAAATTCATATCATGTTGTGGTTGTTGTTATGTGCCGTGGAGTCGGTTCCGACTCATAGCGACCCTGTACAGGGTTTCCGAGGCTGTAAATCTTTACGGGAGCAGAAAGCCTCATCTTTCTCCTGCGGCACAGCTGGTAGTTTCAAACTGCTGACCTTGTGGTTTGCAACCTGATTTGTAACCACTATGCTACCAGAGCTGCTTCAGATCACATCATGGGGTGATGAAATCATTGAATAACTGCCACATTACATTATTGCTGTTGTTAAGTGCTATCAAGTTGGTCCCAACCCATAGTGACCCTGTATAGGATTTTCAAGGAGTGGCTGGTGGGTTTGAACTGCCGGCCTTGGGGTTCAAACCAGACTTGCAGTGCTTATCCTACAGTGCCACTTGTTATTATCTATTGTCAAATTGGTTCCCAACGTATGGTGACTCCACATGTTACAAAGTAGAACTTCTCTGCAGGATTTTGTATAATCTTCACAGAAAGCCCCTTGTGGTGGTGCTTGACTGTTAACCAAAAGGTTGATAGTTAGAACCCACCAGCTATTCCAGTATGGTGTAGGTCCTGGATGTAAGGATTCAGTATTTTTCTCTTCATTGGAACAATATGATCTGCCTAAATGACATAGCCACCTGCCATCTAGCTTTTCGTCATACTGTTGCCACAATGACAGCCTGCTTCTTACAAACATTAATGGGCTGCACATTTTATCATTCATCTCTTTGTAGCTCTGCAGTTTTCCAAGAGGTCAGTCCCCTTTAAATGCCCCCCAAACACTATACATTCCAAGAAGGCCCACTTGGGTATAGACTGTAAGATGCCAAATATACAGGGTCCACAATAATTTATGTATCCACATTCAGACTTTCTTATCTAGTTCATATCTAGTTGTGATTGTTTTTTAACAACACTATCAAATATGGAGTTCTGGTGTGGTGCTGTGTGTTAATGCATCGGACTGCAAAGCCATTTGAACTGCAAGGTCGGTGGTTCAAGCTCACCAGCTGCTCCTTGGAAACCCTATACAGGGTCACTGGGTCGGAATCGACTCAACAGCACTGAACAACAACAACACTATCAAATATGGAACTTCTTTTTTGTTTTTCTTAGTGTTTCAGCTATACTTTTGCTATTCCAGCTAATTATGGCTTTTTAAATTATTGTTTTCTTCCTAAAAGATACAAATTAGTATGGATTACTAATCCAGGGGATTCTATTTCTTGGCAGGTATTTTATTTTACTGCATTTTACCTACCAAGCGGCACTACCGTTGTGCTCTGATTGCCCTGGAACACGGTGCCGATGTCAACAATGTTACCTTTGAAGGAAAGCCGATTTTTCTCAGAGCTTGTGAAGAAGCGCATGATGTTAAAGATGTGTGCCTGACACTTTTGGAAAAAGGAGCCAATCCAAATGCTATCAACACAGTATGACTATTCCTGTGATTATAAATGTTCCTGTTTTCAATGATAGAATCTTAATCAGTATAACTTTGCACTCCCCACTGAACTCTAGTAAAATCATCCTGTTATTTTATAGATTATTCATTTCTATTCAACATGCTTTAAGATGACATATTTAATACCATTCTGTTGTCATTATTCTATAGTCTCCTGCTTAATTGTGCGTACAAAATTACCATTTATTATGCACATTGCTAAAATATACTTATAGAAATAGTTGAAATGGTATAACTTATGCTCAAAAATTTATCTTCTTTAAATAGTTCAGCCTCTTTCACCAGTCTATTTTTGCCCCACTCCTCATTTGGCTAATTTGATAAAGTTTCCTGTTCTTGTAATTCCCATTTCTAGAAAGTCTCTATAAATCTACTCAAAATCTAGATTTCCTTCTAATTAGAAAACACACCTATAACCAAATGTTAGCCTTCACTTTGCATCTTTCTTCATTTCTTGCTCTGCTCGAAATGCCCTGACAATGCCCCACCCCCCACCCAAGTACAATGTATTTAACATGATTTCTTAATAGAAAGACCTCTGTGACCATGACTGTGAGTTTAGAATGCTACACTGTGGCTATTGACTCATACTTGCCCCCCTTTCTGTAGTTATTATGTGAAACGAATGAAAATATTGAGAATGATCAGACAGTATCTCTAGGCTAAATGGGTTTAGAAGAGACACATACTGAGTTTAAACTGGGCAGCACGAGTGTTATTTAACGTGACAGCTATAAACAACATTTGATCTGCTTCGTACCCAGTCCACAGGTCGTACTGCTTTAATGGAAGCCTCGCGAGAAGGAGTCCTGGAACTAGTTCGAGGGATACTGGAGAGAGGAGGTGATGTTAATGCATTTGACAACCAACGACATCATGCTGCTCATTTTGCTGCCAAAGGAGGCTATTTTGATGTAAGAATCTGCTCTTTGTTTTAAAATTACTTGTTAAAAATGTCCTCTTTTTCTTAAATTCTTATCTATCATATAGGTTACACTAAGCTAGGAATTTTTCTGAGCCACCTACTTTATATTCATCTCCATTTTCCCCAAAATTCTAAAAATTTTATTTCATACCAAATGTTATTGACAAAACACATACCACCTATCTACTTATTCTGACCTGTTTGTTAATTTTTCATTTAATATTATTAATAAGATCATTCTGTGTAATTGACTACTACAGTATAAGAACTCGTGCCCATTGGGACTACCTTATTTTGTATTTCTTCTGTGTGTCACAGATTCGAATATTGCATGTTCTAATTGTAATGAGAAAAGTGCCATCGCACTTATATTTGTCGTGGGTTTGTGTGTATCTATTTATTCACCTGCAGTCTTCATGTGGCATTGTGAGATAAACACTGAGATAAGCACAAGTTCAAGCCAGAAGGTTGGTGGTTCAAACCCACCAGGCGCTCTTTGGAAACCCTATATAGATGGGTCGCTACGAGTGGTAACCAAATCAACGGCCCTTAACAACAACAAATTCATTCACTTACTCTGATCATTTGGACATATCAGCAAAGGATATCTGCTAGATTTAGTGACATTGCAGAAATGAAATAGAAACAAATAGTGTCCTGTTTTACCAGCGGTTCCTCAGAAACCCTAAACAGGGTCACTAGGAGTCAGAACCGACTTGACAGCATTTAACAACAAGATTAACAACATCTTTGTAGTGTAGCGGTTACACATTGGGCTGCTGACCAAAATGTCAGCAGTTTTGAATCTACTAGACACTCCTTGGGAGAAAGATGAGGTTATCATAAACATTTGTTGTTGCTGTTGTTAAGTTCCATTGAATTGGTTCATAGGGTTTCTGAGGAATGACTGGTGAGTTTGAACTGCCAACCTTGCAGTTCAAACCAACTTTGTGGTCGGTCCAGTGCTTATCTTATAGCACCACATCTCCAAAACCCTATACAGGGTCGCCTTGAGTTAGAACCAACTCAACGACACAACACCTCCACCACCACCTTTATTTTGGAGTCTTAGTGCTGTGCTGTAAGATAAACATTGGACTGCTAATCACAAGGTTGGCAGTTCAAACCCACCAGCCTCTCCTCATAAATGCAACATGGGCTGCTTGCTATGAGTGTTACGTGCACTTGACAGCACTTAACAACACCTTTATTTAAGGAGCCCTGGTGGTGCAGAAGGTTAGATACTGGGCTGCTGATTGAAAGGTTGGAGTTTTGAGCACACTAGATTTCTGTGGAAGAAAGATGAAGCATTCTGCTTCAATAAAGATTTACAGCTTCGGAAACCCTGTACTTCAGCGTTACTGTGAATTGAAATCAACTAAGTGGCAGTGGATTTGGTTTGGTTATCTTTATTTTTGTCTTTGAGCCTCTTCTCTGCATTAAATTATACATAAAATAGAGGTCACATTTGGTAAAGAATTTGTTCCATTGATGCTGTTTACTATATTCTGATGCATTCTTTAATTGCCTAGATTTGTGCAAATGATAATGCCTAGGCTGAGTTCTGTGGCTTGGTCTTTTCTATATCTAACTCAACACTGTTTGCTAGAACTTTTAGCAATGGTGGAAATGTTCTCTATCCACTCTGTCCAGTATGGTAGCCAGTAACCACAGTAGTCCTGGGGGAGCTGTAGGATAGGCACTGGACTGCTAGCCACCAGCTACTCCATGGAAGAAAGATGAGGCTGTCTACTCCTCTAAGGATTTAGAATCATGAAAAGCCTATATAGGATCACTGTGAGTCAGAATCAATTCTGTGGCAGCATGTTTGGTGTTTTGGCTAGCCTTTGAGAACTTTTAAACATGGCTAGTACATCTAAGGAACTACATTTACAATTTTCCAATGTCATTAAGTTTAAATTTGAAGTAAATTTAAATTTGAAATAGCCATATGTGCGTAGTAGTTAATGTATTAGATAGGAAGGCCTAGGTGCCCATCTTCATCCAGCAAATGTTCACTCCCATTCCTCTACAGTATCTGCTATTTCCTTTGCAGATATTGAAGCTTCTTTTTGCCTACAACGGAGAAGTGGGGCTGATAGCAATGAATGGGAACACACCGCTTCATTATGCTGCCATGGGTGGTTTTGCAGATTGCTGTAAATATATAGCTCAGCGAGGTAAAACTGCCTAGCAATTTTATGCTTTAAGTGTTTTTTTTATCTACTCACAACATGGATGAACAGAGAATTTGGGCCTGTAACTTGCCAGTAGCTTGACTTTCTCAAGAAGCCAAACCTTACTCATCTATAGAAAAAGTTGAGTTTTTCGTATACTACCTTCTATTAAAACATGAGTCTACTATTAAAAGTAATGAAAACCCATTTGTCTTAGTTCTGTAGTGCTGCTAAAAGAGAAATACCACAAGTGGATGGCTTTGACAAACAGAAATGTCTTCTCTCACAGTTTGGGAGGCTTCAAGTTCAAGTTCAGAGTGTCAGCTCCTTTTACTACCTGTAGGCCCAGAATTCCTTGGAGCTCTCCATGTATCTTTGTTGTTGTGAAGTGCCATCGAGTCTGTTCCGACCCATAGCGACCCTGCATAGGGTTTCCAAGGAGCGACTGGTGAGCTTGAACCACCGAGCTTGTAGTTCAAATGGCTTTGCAGTCTGGCCCATTAACCCATAGCACCACACCATGACTCCCCTGATTCTAGGAGCTTTACAGTGCAGGAATGTCAGGTCCAAAGGATGCACTTTACCTCCAACTATACTCCAACTCTTGGTGGTAGTAGTTCCCTGTAGGAAACTTTCTAGCAAAAAGTCTCCTTTTATTGCTTGGAAGATAAAAGGTGTTGCAGGCTACTCCCCTGAGGAAATTTCCTTTCGGTTGATTGGCTGATCAAAGAAGATCTCATCATGTAAATGATTACATTATATATTAGATCTCATAGTGGAGGGATAACTACATCTTAGCTGCCAAACAACTAAGAATCCGGGTCACCAAAGCCTTAACTGTTGCATCATTTCTCCAAATATTATTAGGTTCATTTTTAAAGTCTAAAGGAGATTGTTCGTGAGTCAACCAATTATTAAAATACTCATGGCACACCTTAGTTTTTAATATGACAGTATCAGCATAACAATAAATAAGCACTAAAAACCATATATTTTGACTGAATTTTATTCTGTCATCTTTAAAGGCGTTCCACTATGTTAATTATAAAAAAAAATTCTTAGGATAATTTTTAATTATTAGGCAAATATTTGTGGTAGAGGGGAGACATGAAATGAAATGGAAATTTTCATGGAAAGTTTAAAATTAAGCAATTTTATATCCTGGTGTGTCAGACTGCAAAGCCGTTTGAACTGCAAGGTCGGTGGTTCAAGCTCACCAGCTGCTCCTTAGAAACCCTATACAGGGTCACTATGGGTCAGAATCGACTCAACAGCACTGAACAACAATAGCTTTTAAGTCACTTTATTTATTTAATGAATAATAAAGCTAATATTATCCTTAAATTAATAAAGTCGTAAGCTAATGTTATCATCTTAAGGAACATACTCAACTATATATAATGCAGTTTTAGGAACATATACAACTATTATTGTTGTTGTTGTTAAGTGCCGTCGAGTCTGTTTCGACCCATAACGACCCTGAATAGGGTTTCCGAGGCTCTAAATCTTTACGGGAGCAGATCGCCTCATCTTTCTCCCGCGGAGCAGCTGGTAGTTTCGAACTGCTGACCTTCCGGTTCGCAGCCCGATTCGTAACCACTATGCTACCAGAGCTCCTTATATACAACTATACAGACTATAATTTAAATGAAAATATTAGTTACATTTAAAGATATAGACAATTTGGTATTAATTACATGCTACTTGAATGCATTTAAAACACTTTCTTCTTTGTCAGAGATGGAACTGCATTCAGCTGAACTTGATCTTAGTTTTTTTGTTGTTTTTTAGGTTATGAGAAGCAGGCTAAAACTTAGAGTACAATTCTTTAATATGTAGAACAGAGAAAGTGTTATTCATTTTCTATCTTCCATACAGGCACAAAACCTTAGAAGTCATTGGGACCTTAGAAATCCTTTGTAGTTTTCACTAATATTATAAATTAGACAAATGTGCTGGCATAACTAATTAGGGTTATGACTGATCCATGTTTACTTGTGTAAGTTCATACTTTACTCATCCATCCAAAAGTACCTTTAAATGGTAAAACAAGAAAAATTGATTAAATGCAATGTTTGCTTTCTCTGTCTTATACATTGTATTTTAAACCTGTCACTCTCAGTAGTTTATGCTGATGCTTTATTTATATCATCATATATGTTTTTAAAATGACACATCTGTTCAGTTTGACAGAAGCTTCAATAACTTTCACAAAATCACTTTGGGGAACAAAAATCACCAAACATGCACTCCAGGGTTTTTTTAGCTCTGAGATGATGACGTGAAAGATAAACTGAGGAGTAAAGGGCCAGAGTTTGGGTCATGCAAAAAGCCTTGTCAGGTGATGCAGAAAAGATCCATCTTCCTAGCATAATCATAGCCAGTTGTTTCTAAAACCAATATCTGAGACTGTTTGGAATCCTGTTGCATATTTGGAAGTATTATCCTAAGTGAGTGACCCAATACCTCTCTCTGCAGAGGTGTTTCAAGTCATATGTTAACCTTAGAATCTTAGAGTTAAGACAATAAGGGCAGTGAGAAACCTCTAGCAATAAAATATCCATTTCTGAATAAATTGCCTTGCTAATACCGAAATGTAAAGAGACAGTGATGGCTGGATTCCTTTCCCATATTAGAATATCATTCTCCAAGTAGCACCCTTTTGGTGCTTCGTCATGTCAGTAGAGCAATTTACAACTCCATGTAAGAATTGGAAGCACCAGTATCCAAGGCAAAGGAAGAAAGTTTTTGGTATTTCTCCTGAAGGGCCCCCTTGAAAAGTCTCCTTCTATTGGGCCTATGGGTCCCTGTCTTCTGTAGTACCAGGCACCTAAAGTACAGTATTTTGACCATAAAAATAAAAACAAAGTAACTCTTTGCCCTGAAGTTGATTCCAACTCCTGGCACGCCTTTTGTCTCAGAGCAGAACTGCTCCACAGGGTTTTCTTAACTGTAACTATTATGGAAATAGATCACCAAGACTCTCTTCCATGGAGCAACTGGGTGGATTCAAACCCCTAATCTTTCAGTTAACAACTGAATGCAAACTGGTTATATGATGCAGGGACTATTATTATTTTACTATGTTGCTGTTGTTCTTGGGTGTTGTCCAGTTGGTTATGGCTCATAGTAACCCTGTATAGGGAAGCCAAGAATGGAAATCTTTGCAGGAGCAGAAAGTCTCATCTTTTTCCCATGGAATATCTGGTGGGTTCGAACCAAGGACTTGTGGTCTTCAATCCTGTGCTTATCCTATGGAACCACTGTCCTTCCCCATTTGAATATAATATAAATCACAAAGGGAATTAATGGATTTTTCCTTTACAAATCAAAAGGAGACAAAAAAAAAAAAAATCCTGTCAAAGGAAATGTTGTTAGATCTTTAAGCAGAATATAGTCTTTTATCCACATAAAGGTTTCCAACTAGGAAGAAACTGGAAACACAGATGGACAAGCTGGCAGCAGATTTTAAATCTTTGATCCTTAGAGTTGGGGTGAATGTAGAAGGAATAACTTAAGGGAGATGACAGATAAAATCCTGAGCCACTCTCAGTAAGGATCCGCACTAAGTCAAAACAGTGCCCTTGCTATAGAATGACTCCATTGAGACCTCTTTCAGTGCCTTCTTCCCAGTAAATGTCTGTTCCTAAAATTCCAATATAAACATTTTAGAATCCTTAATCATCCTTACGCACTTTTGTGTGTGTGTGTTTTTTTTAACCACCAGTCATCTGTCCGTTTGTTGAACTGTGGTGCTTGTGTGCTGCAGGATGCTATGCTGCCAGTGTTTTAAGCACCAGCAGGGTTACCAGGGTGGACAGGTTTCAGCAGAGCATCCAAACGAAGGAAGAAGGAAGAGCAGAGCACTTCTGAATGGATCATTAATGAAAACCTATAAACAGGAGCAGAAGAACACTGTCCGATATAGTGCCAGCAGATCAACTCCTTAGTTTGACAGACGCTCAAAATATGACTCAAAGTAGAAAGTTGACCTTAATAATACAAATGGAGCAAAGCTTTCAGGATTTTTATTTTCTGATGGGGGCAAAATGAAAAGAAACAAGTACAAAGCTCCATTAATAATGAGACCATGGAATGTATGACTCTAGGAAAATTGGAAGTCATCAAAAATGAAATGAAATGCATAAAGATCGATATTGTAGGTATCTGTGAGCTCAAATGTACTGTTATTGGACATATTGAATAAGTCATATGGTTTACTATGCGAGGAATGTCAAATTGAAGAATGGCATCACATTCATTGTCTAAATGAGCATTTCAAGATCTATCTTGAAGTGCAATGTTGTCTTTGAAAGGATAATATACACACGCCTACAAGGAAGTCCAGCTGATATCACTATTTTTCAAATTTATGCACAAACCTCTAAATCTAGTGATGATGAAATTGAAGAATTCTACACACATCTTCAGTCTGAAATTGACCAAATATGCAATCAAGGTGCACTGATAATTACTGGTGATTGAAATGTGAAAGTTGGAAACAGAGGGGGAAGGATCAGTAGTTGGAAAATAGGGCCTTGGTAATAGAAATTGTGCTATCAATATTACATGGTAGAATTTCACAGACCAATGATTTCTTCATTGTAAATAATGTTTTTCACCAACATAAAAGGTGATTATACATATGGACCTTTCCAGATGAAATAAACAGTACTCAAATTGACTACATGTGGGGAAAGAGCCAATGAAGAAGCTCAATGTCATAAGCCAAAAAAAAAAAGGCCAGGGGCAGACTGTGAAACAGACCACCAATTGCTCATAAATAAGTCCAGGCTAGAGTTGAAGAAAATTAAAATGAGCCCACAAGAGCCATAATATGACATTGAATAGATCCCACTGGAATTTAAGAGACCATCTCAAAAACAGACTTGATGCATTAGACACTAATGACTGAAAACCAGAAGAATTGTGGGTTGACATCAAGAATATTATCCATGAAAACATCAGAAGGTCATTAAAAAGACAGGAAATAAAGACCAAAATACATATCAGAAGAGACTCTGAAACTTGCTCTTGAACACAGAGAAGCTAAAACAACTGGAGGAAGTGAGGCAGTAAAAGAGCTGAACAATTTCAAAGGACATCTCAAGAAAACAAAGTCAAGTATTATAATGAGATGCTCAAATGAGAACTGGAGTCACAAAACCAAAAGGAAAGAACATATTCAGCATTTCTCAAACTAAAAGAAGTGAAGAAAATTATTCAAGACTCGAATTGAGGTATTAAAGGATGTTATGGGAAAGTAGTGGTTACGAATCGGGCTGCGAACCTTAAGGTCAGCGGTTCGAAACTACCAGCTGCTCCACGGGAGAAAGATGAGGTTTTCTACTCCCGTAAAGATTTACACCCTCGGAAACCCTATACAGGGTCGCTATGGGTCGGAACCGACTCGATGGCACATAACAACAACAACAACAATAGGGAAAGTAAGGAGCTATGATAGTCTAAAGGTTACGAGTTAGGCTACTAATCTCAAGGTCAGCAGCTCAAAACTACCGGTGGTTCCATGGGAGAAAGATGAGGCTTTCTGCTCCCATAAAGATTTACAGCCTCGGAAACCCTATACAGGGTCACTATGAGTTGGAATCCACTCCACAGCACACCACTACCACCACCATGGGCAAAATATTGATTGATACAGGAAGCATCAAAAGTAGATGGGAAAACCTCCTTCTAAGACTAAGACTCAATGGGAATACATGCTCTGATTTGTGACCACATTCATCACCGATAAGGGGAAGTGAGGGAAAAACAGCAATGAAGCTGCGAGCTAAGCCCTACAATGTTTAATAGACTCCTGTAAACTGGGGTGGAGACCTAGTTGGCCAGCAATATGGCAAGACCTGGGGACTCTTCGGCCCAGAGTAAATGACATAGCCACAGAGGACTAGAGTGGAGAGTGAACCATCCAGCTGATAAGAAGAGAGGGCATATCCACAAGAACACCTACCACTTGACCTGGCTTCAATGACTGGATGATCAGAGCTCAACTAGAAGAAGAAAGAAGAGGAAAAAAGTAATCTGATGCAATTTGATGAACTTGACTTACACCTATGGATGCAGTAGCTCAAAAGAGGGAACAAACCTTTACAGGGAGGATTTTTCCCACCCCCTCCATACACAAAGTAGACAGGGATGGGCAACTCAGTAGACAGGCATTGGCTACCCAAAATGGGGGGGCTTCAGTGGTATATCAGTGTGTGGAAACATTTCCATTTGTATTCTATCCATTCTTGGAGCCTTGGTTTTTCACCGATGCCTTTAATGCAACTTGGACTTCTTTGATCAATATCATCAGTTCTTGATTACATGCTACCTCTTGAAATGGTGCAAAGGCAAGAAGTGACTTGCTTACAAGCTTTGAAGAGGGAACCTAGATCCAGAGGGAATGGAGGAAGGTAGAATCTCCACTGAGTAGTATACAATCTGTCTGTGAGGGGCTGATGAAAGGAGATGCGGATAGGACTCTTGTGGTACAATAGTGAATAATTGTTATCAGGACTGATTGTGAGGGTTGGAAATGTAAAGGTAGACATTTTGTAGCAAAATTAGGGGAGTGATTGACTTTGCAGTCTAGGAGAGGAGGTCCCTGGGACCATAAAGGGAGAAGAGTGGAGAACAGGACCTTACCCAGAGAAGCAGTGATGCCTGAGATGGAGGCAGAGACAATAATGTGGAGAGATGGAGCAGCTGGGGACTTTAGACTCAGAGAGGGAGAGGGGCCATGTGATGACGACTGGGGGGACAGGCTTGCAGGTCCTTTGATTGGTTGATGATGCATGGAGGGACTATAACCATGGCAATGAAATGATATACGATAGGATGAATGTAAAGCTAATATTCTCCCATGTAAACTATCACATAATTCATAATAAAACATTGAAAATAAAAAGTAGATGGAAGGAGAAATATACAGTGACTGCTCCAGTTGATGCTCAACCATTTCAAGAGGTGGCATATGATCAAGAACTGATGATTTTGATCAAAGAAGTCCAAGTTGCATTAAAGGTATTGGTGAAAAACCAAGGCTCCAAGAATGGATAGAATACAAATAGAAATGTTTCAATACACTGATATACCACTGAAGAATCTCACTAGTCTATGCCAAGAAATTTGGAAGACCTGGCCAACCAGTTGGAAGAGATCCATACTGTGCCCATTCCAAAGAAAAATGACTCAACAGAATGTGGAGATCATCAAACAATTCCATTAATGTTTGATAGAGTGGAGGGCCAATGAAATAGAGGAAGACCCTTCATAAGATGGATTACAGCAGCAATAGGACTTAAACATGATAATAATTATGAAGATGGCACAGAACTAGACAATGTTTCATTTGGCTGTGCATAGGATCGCTATGAGTTGAAGTTGATTCTACTGCCCCTAACAACATCATCAACATACACTGTTTTGTATTAACTCATCACTATTAAAATTATGAACTCTAGTTTAAGTTTTTAATTTTTGATAACAAAGAAAGAATTAACCTTGAAAAAAATTATTCTTTTCTTGCTAGTTAGGATTTTTTTTCTTTTTTAAGCACACCAAGGTGAAATACTATAATCAACCCTAATGTGTTCATCATGGCAAACATCTTTTTGAGAAACAATGAAACTATAAAATGTTGCAGGGACATGCTTTAATTTTTCATACAAGTTTTGGTTACTGACTGGGTGCCAACCCGTTTTGACTCTGTGTTGTTGGTAGAGCAATCGAACAGTCTTCTAGATTGAAACCAGTTAAAGTTCTACCATGGCCTGACTTATTTATATACATCATGTATTTTTAATGTCTCTAAGAGCTCTGGTAGCGTAGTGGTTACGGATCAGGCTGTTAATATCACGGTCTGCAGTTCGAAACTATCAGCTGTTCCGTGGGAGAAAGATGAAGCTTTCTGCTCCTGTAAAGATTTATAGCCTCGGAAACACTGTACAGGGTTGCTATGAGTCGGAACCAATTCCACAGCACATAACAACAAGACCCTTATTAGAGACAACATAGCCTTCCAGGGAGTACTAAGTAGATTCCCTGATTTTAGAGATAATGTTGGTCTCACCATATTGTCAATTCAAAGGCTAAAAAGTGAAATGAGTCTTAATGGTCTAATTTACTCACAATATAGTACTCTCTCAAATTTGTTTGGCAAATAACTGTCCCCTTTGTTAATGTTGTTCATGTGATACTGTCACAAAACAGCAGATAAATCATATTAATTTCATGGAGAATACAGATAAAATATAGCCTAAAGTTGTACACAGATTAACAATCATAATCAGTCAAAAAAGAAATGAGCATGGTTCAGTATTCTGAACTCATAAACTCATACATAATTTGTCTGAATCAAGATTTCGAAATTCAAGTATCTCCTTTGCTCACTTATTTCTTGGCATGAAGTCCCCTTAGAAAGTAACCCATTATGATATTTGTTTCAAATATCTAAAGGAATAAATCTCACAATCCTTTAGGGAAAGAATGTAAATTTGAAGCATACCTACATTTGAATTCACCAAAGTAAAGCTCACAGGAAAAAAAAAAAAGCTAAATTTTACAAGTATCATAGTTAAATGGGTACAACTCTACGTAAGTATACTTTGGGGACGAGCTTTTGACTAATGACCCACAGTAAGAAAACAGATGAATGTCATTTATAGAGCTAGACAGATGCCTCAGCACCACTCATAATACACATGTTTCATTTTTTAGGATGTGACTTGAAATGGAAGAACTTAGATCATAAAACCCCAAGGACTGTGGCTAAGGAAGGTGGCTTCAAAGCAGCAAGCAAAGAAATACGCAAAGCTGAGCAAATCGCTAATAAACTTGCCAGGCCAGGAGCCAAAAATCCTAATCCACTCTGGGCTATTAGACTACATGACTGGTCCGTAGAACGTGAGACATTCCTTCGGGAATCCTTTTCGTTTGTGGACAGAGGCAATGGGACAGTCAGTAAAGAGGACTTTATTATGGCCCTTGAGGAGAGGCAAGATTTTGTAGACACAGAGCAGCTGAATATCATAGCACAACTTCATGAAAAATCCCGGGGAGAAGGAGTTAACATTAACGATTTCTTCAAAGGAACAAAATATTTAAACAAGGCTTATGTCTTGGGATCCTATGGGCCTAAGAAAAAGAAAAAAGGGATAGGTAAAAAAGGAAAGAAAGGCAAATTTGTTTTGCCTCTCCCAATCTGCATTATCCCTGAGAATGCATTTCCACTGCGGAAAGATGATGGACTTCCATGTTACATGATTGAAACCTACAAAAATATAACTGATTGCAGTCGCTTCAACCGAGATCATCCACCAGAGCATCCCATTCAGGATGACTCTGCTTGGTACATAGATGCCCCAATGAAAATATATGCAAATATTAATTTTGTCACCAAGGCCGGGGACTTGGCTTCTCTGAAAAAAGCCTTTGAATCTGGAATACCTGTGGATATGAAGGATAATTTTTACAAAACACCACTAATGACTGCCTGTAGAAGTGGAAACATTGAGGCAGTCAAGTTTCTTCTGGAAAAAGGGTATGTACTTCGGTGGTTGTTGTTGTTAATACTGCCTCATCAATTCCGATTCATAGCAACCCTGTATAGGGTTCCCAAGGAGCAGCTGTGGGTTTGAGCCACCAATATTTTGATTAGCAGTAGAATGGGGCTTCACATTTTATGAGTGTTTACAATGCAAGAAAAGGAAAGAATGGCTACGAAATAAACATTCCATTCCAGAATTTGAAGTTCCATTCCAGGATTTTAAGTTTGCCAGAAGAGTGCGTCAACACTTAAGTTTAGATTAGTGGTAGTAGTTATGTGCTGTGGAGTTGGTTCCAACTCATAGTGACGCCTCTACAGGGTTTCTGAGGCTAGAAGGAACTCTGGTAGTGCAGTGGTGATTATGTGCCCTGGAGTCGGTTCCGACTCACATCTATCGACCCTGTACAGGGTTCCCGAGGCTGTGTATCTTTACAGGAGCAGAAAGCCTCATCTTCTCACCCCTCCCCCATGGAACAGGTGGTAGTTTCGAACTGCTGACTTTATGGTTCGCAGCCCGATTCGTAACCCCTACACTACCACAGCTGTCTACAAATAGGGCTGCGAAACTTAAGGTCAGCAGTTTCAAATTACCAGCTGTTCCGTGGGAGAAAGATGAGGCTTTCTACTTCCATAAAGATTTACAGCCTTTAAAACCCTGTACAGGGTCGTTATGAGTCGGAACCGAATCCACGGCGCATTACAAAAGCCACATCTTTATCCTATAGAACCACTGGTTGTTTCGAATTGCTGACCATGATATTGGCAGCCTGTCTCTTCACCACTACGCCACCAGATAGGTTATACATGGGGAGCCAGACTAAAAGGGATGTAGGATTGTGCGGATACAAAGATCGTTTGTTAATAACAACTAAACCCAAAGTGAAGGCCAGTTGGTTTCTACTGCAGGGTAAAGGAGCTTTCAGATTGTGTTATCACTGGTCTTCTTGAATAACTGAATTTGGTTTTAGACTTTACCTTGATGGTATGGAAGAGAAAACAAAAAACAGTTGCTCTGGGGTTGATTCCAACACATGTTGACTTCAGAGTAAACCTGTGCTCCTTGGAGTTTTCAATAGCTGATTCGTTTCTAAATAAGATGACAAGCCTTTTCTTCCAAGGAATCTCTGGGTTAACTCCATCCTTTTCTGCTGAGACCTTTAACCATTTGTACCACCCAGGTGTGGAGTCACTTTTAATTTGGTCTCTCTTCTTGTGGGAATGTCAATAAATTGAAACAAGTTGCAATATTACTAATGATGAGAAGGACATGTTTTTGATTCATCTATAACTTACTGTCCTATTTCAGAAGATTCAGTCTTTTTCTTGGGTTACATGAAAATAGTTTTAAGATATCAAAGCATAACATTTTTATTTTTAGAAAACTGAAATTGTTACCCAGGTTTCATTTCATTTCTTATTCCTCTCTCTCTCTCTCTCTGTCTGTCTGTCTCTCTCTCTCTCTCTCTGTCTCTGTCTCTCTCTCTCTCTCTCTCTCTCTATATATATATATATATATAACCTGGAGTAGGTTTCTTAAGTTTTTTGTGCCTTCGTTTTCTCATTTATGTAGTGGGGATTGAATGGGACTCATTTCACAGGGCTTGTTAATGATTAAATGAGTTTAAAGATACAAAGCACTTGTTGACAGAGTGAAACTGTGACAGCTTTTTAAAAAAGGTATTATTATTGTTACTATTACGTTTAATGCCAAAGAAAGATTCAGATTTGTATGTTATCAAGGAAACACAAAGCAATGAATGAGAATTGAACTTTGGGGCAGCAAATTCCAAAAAATGATTATATTTTAAAATAAACTATTGTAATAGTTATCATTCTAATGATGAATGTTGCTTTTAAACATACATAATATGCAGAGAAAGTAGACACAAAATTGGATAATACAATTTTAATATTTCCTGTAAGATTTTATCTTCATTGGATCTACTTGCATAATTTTCCTTTTTAAGCCTTGGCCCAAACGGTTACCACCAGGGTCTAAGTGCCTTTTAAGATTCAACAAACTAGATATATCCTCAAAGAAATTTAAGATTTTCAAATCCTTTTTTAACCTTGGCCAAAATGATTATCACCATGGCTAAATGAACCATGTATAGTCATGAAGAAATTTAAGATTTTCAAAAACTTCAAAACAAAAAGAGGTCAAAAAATATTATAGCATAGATTTTTGTTTAACTTAAAGCTTCCTTGGTTTAAAGTTTTTAACAATTTAATAAAACTATATTAAATCTTACTTTGCAATTTTAAACTTGCATTCTTGGGAAAACCACTGTATTTAGTTTGTGCATCTAACTTATTTTATAGGGCTAATGTCAATGCAACAGACAATTTTCTGTGGACTCCCCTTCATTTTGCATGCCATGCAGGCCAACAAGATATTGTTGAACTGCTTGTTAACTCTGGAGCTTCAGTAGACGCAGCTTCAATCAACAACTCAACTCCTTTAAGTAGAGCTATTGAGAGCTGTAGACTGGATACTGTGAAGTACCTGCTTGATGTTGGTGCTAAATTCCAGATGGAAAATAGAAGAGGTATGCATTCATACGATTGATGGTTAGGGTTAGCAAAAGAAAATTTGTTAGGTTCTGAACCCTTCAAATTCATTTCATATAGGGCCACGTTAACTAGTTCATGCACAAATCTGAGTTCATTGTTATGGTATGTGTAATGATTAGTTTGGAGTCCTGGTGTGGCACTGTGGGCTAATGTGACAGATGCAACCACAAGGTTGGTGGTACAAGCTCACCAGCTATTGCTTGGAAACCCTATACAGGGTCACTATGGGTCAGAATCGACTCGATGGCACTCAACAACAACAACAATGATGATGAGTTTGTCTTCCACCTAGTGTTTCAAAAAAGCTGTGGTGAAGAATTCATTCTTTATATTGCAATCTGTTGTAAATTTATAACTTATGTAAAGTAGAATTTAAAAATTGTTTATGAGAAAAATGAAGTGAAAAGTAATATAACTTAAACATGTATGTTGTTGTTGTTGTTGTTGTTAAGTGCCCTCGAGTCGATTCCGACCCATAGCGACCCTGTATAGGGTTTCTAAGGAGCAGCTGGTGAGTTTGAACCGCCGACCTTGCAGTTCAAACGGCTTTCCAGTCTGACACATAAACCCAAAGTGCCATACCATATATATGAAATATAAGCCCAAACTTTTTATCATTAGATTCCAAAAATGGAGAATTGTTCTCTCAGATTGCTATACAAGTTTCTAAACTACTTATTCTGAATTTCTGTAGTTATTTCATCATGGACCAGCATCCATGATTTTGCCAACCTATGCTAGTTAGGTTACACACTGAGCTATCACACTGCTGTATCTGTCAAATGCTAAGACTCAGCATAGTCAAGACACGGAATTCCTTCTAAATCTGAACAGAGTAATTCTTGAATCGAAGCTCTTTTGATTCCAGGAAGCAAATGAGAGGCATATCTTACATCATAAATACTACATATGTTGATGAAAAATCATTGACAGAAATATTTTGAGCTATATTTTTGGAGATTTTATGTGGTTATATTAGAGCTCATTGCTTCCTTTGAATCAGAGAGAGTATTAATACTTCTGGGTGCTTCAGATTGCCTGAGTCACAGGTAACTGCATCGGGCCTGAGGACATTATAGGGGACATAATGCTCAGCCATCTGCATAGACTCGTGGCCACCAGCTTCCCCATTCGATTTGGACTCTACCTCCTTACATCATGGCAGTTGAATTATGTAAAAGTGTCACATCAAAAGAAATGATCTTGATGTGGAAAGAGAACCATCAATTAAGTATTCAAAATATTGTTGTTGTTGTTGTTGTTATGTGCTGTGGAGTTGGTTCCGACTCATAGCAACCCTGTACAGGGTTTCCGAGGCTGTAAATCTTTACAGGAGCAGAAAGCCTCATCTTTCTCCCATGGAACAGCTGGTGGTTTCAAACTGCTGACCTTGCTGTTCGCAGCCCAATTCGTAACCACTACGCTACCGGAGTTCATCTGTTAGTATTCACCATCAACTTTTAAAGAAATTTGCTTTAAAAAATGTAAGGAAAAAACCCTATTGATTGTACCAGTACTGACATTTTAAATTCCAGGATTTTAGAGTTGGGCCTTCTGTTGAAAATATTCAGTCTAACCCTGTGGTTTTCACACACCATTTGCTTTTGTAAGTGCTCTTCCTACCAGATGTTTAAGGAATTCTGATAGCATGGTGGTTATGAGTCAGGCTGTAAACCACAAGGCCAACAGTTAGAACCGTCCAGCTGCTCCGCGGGAGAATGATGAGGCTTTCTGTTCCCATAAAGATTTACAACCTCAGAAACCCTATACAGGGTCAATATGAGTCGGAACTGACTCCACGGCACATAACCACCACCACATGTTTAGGGTCCATGTACTGAGATCTTCCTAACTGGTTTATTACTAATCTATTCATTTCAACTCTAAATTTATTTTTTTTTAATTAGGACATAATGCCATGGATGTTGCAAGGGCATATGCTGACTATAGAGTAATTGATCTGATTAAAGAAAAGCTAGATAACTTACCAAAACCTGCAGAAAATCAAAATGCAAAAGGCAAGCCCCCACCTGTTAAACTGAAGACTGAAGGCCCTGAAATTAAAGAGGAGGTAAGAAAAGAGATGGGACTAACAATTAGTAACAAATTACTGAAAACAATGTTCATGGATGGCACTATTTACGTTTCATTATACAACATGAACTCCTGGTGTGGCGTTGTAGGATCAGCACTGGACTGCAAACCTCAAGGAGAGCAATTCAAACACCCACTAGCTGCTCCATGGAAACCCTATACAGGATTACTATGAGTCAGAACCCACTCAACAGAACTTAACAACTACAACATAGGAAAAACAATAGTTTTTGTAATTCATATCATCAGCAATATTATGCAGTACTTTTAAGGTGGGAAAATGTATAACTAATGATGAAAGTTAAAAAGTCCTCATTGCACTTAGAATCCATTCAAAACCAAATTGGTGGAGTCCAAAACAATTAGAATATTGAAACTGGTATACGTTTGTTCCTGTTGCCAACGAGTTAATACTGATTCATAGTGACCTTGTGCATAACAGAACGAAATGCTGCCCGGTACTGAACAAACCTCACAATCATTGCTACGCTTGAGCCCATTGCTACTGCCACTGAAGAAGTTTATCACGTTGGTGTGTCTTTCTCTTTTTCGCTGATCTTCCACTTTACCGAAGATGATGTCTTTCTCCAGATATTGGTCCCTCCTGATAATACGTCCAGCGCTGAAGGATAAGCACTTGACCTCAATGCCAGTTTGAAGTGCAAGTTTAGCAGTTCAAATTCACCAGCCACTTCTCAGAAACCCTATACAAGGACACTTTTAGTAGGGGCCGACTCAGCAGCACTTTACAACAACAACATGAGAGACTGAAGTCTTGTTATCCTGGCTTTTAAGGAGCATTCTGACTATACTTCTTCCAACACAGATTTGTTTGTTCTTTTAGCAGGCCGTGGTACTTTTTAATATTCTCCTCCAACACTATAACTCAAATGCATCAGTTCTTCGTTGGTCTTCTTCATTCATTGTCCAACTTTCACATGCATATGAGGTTATTGAAAATATCATGGCTTGGGTCAGGCATACCTTAGTCCTCAAACTGACATCTTTGCTCTTCAATACTTTAAAGAGGTCTTGGGCAGCGGATTTGCCTAGTGTAATATGATAGTTGATTTCTTGACTGCTGCTTCCATGAGTGTTCATGGTCAATACAAGTAAAATGAAGACTTTGACTTCAACCTTTTCACCATTTATCTTGATGTTATTTATTAGTCCAGGGGTGAGGATTTTTGTTTATGATACATTGAGATGCAACTCATAAAGTAGACTGTGGTCTCTGATCTTCATCAGTAAGTATTTTAAGTCCTTTCACTTTCAGCAAGAAAAGTAGTATCATCTTCATATCTCAGGTTGCTAATGGGTCTACCTCCAATCCTGATGCCATGCTTTTCTTCATAGATTCCAGTTTCTCAATTTATTTGCTCAGCATACAGATTGAGTAAGTATGGTGAAAGAATATCACCCTGGCATACACCTTTTCTAATTTTAAACTATTCAGTGTTCCCTTGTTCTTTTTGAACAATGGCCTCTTGTTCTATGTGGAGGTACCCCATGAGCACAATGAGTTTTTCCAGAATACTCATACTCCACAATGTTATCCATAGCTTGTCATGATCATTACAATCAAAAGTCAATAAAGCACAGGTAAACATCTTTCTGGCATTGTCTGCTCTCAACCAAGATACACCTGACATCAGCAATGATATCCTTTGACCCATTATTGTCATCAAGTCAATACTGACTCTTAGCAACCCTATGCACAACAGAATGAAACACTGCCAGTCCTGAGCCAACCTCATAGTTGTTATCACACTTGAGCCCATTAATGCTGTCACTTTGCCAGTCCATCTCACTGAGGGTCTACCTCTTTTTCTCTGACCCTCCACCCTACCAAACATGATATCCTTTTCCAGTGACTGTTCTCTCCTGCAGATAATATGTCAGAAGTCTGAGAAATGACATTTGGCCATCTTGGTCTCCAAGGATGTACTTGGAGCTGTACTAGTTGTACTTCTTCCAATGCAGATCTGTTGTTTTTTTTGACAGCCCATGGTACTTTCAATATTCTCTTCTAACACCATAACTCAAAAGCATCAATTCTTCTACAGTCTTCCTTATTCACTGTCCAGCTTTTGTATGCATATGGTGGTGGTTGATGGCTGTGTGGTTCTGACTCATAGCAACCCTGAGTAGGGTTTCCAAGGCTGTAAATCTTTATGGGAGCAGAAAGCCTCGTCTTTCTCCCATGGAACAGCTGGTAGTTTCGAACTACTGACTTTGTGGTTAGCAGGGTCAGTAATTCATAATCACTATTTGTAATCACTATGCTACCAGACCACATTTTGCATGCATATGAGGTTATTGAAAATACCATGCCTTGGGTCAGGCTCACCTTAGTCCTCAAGTTGACATGTTTGCTCTTCAACACTTCAAAAAGGTCTCATGCCACAGATTTACCTAATGCAATAAGTCATTTAATTTCTTGACTGCTGCTTCCATGAGTGTTGATGAATGAAGTCCTTGACAACTTCAATCTTTTCTCCATTGATAAGAATGTTGTTTACTGGTCCAGGGGTGAGGACTTTTGTTGCCTTTACATCAAGATGCAATCCATGCAGAAGGATATGGTATTTGATTTCATCAGTAAATATTTTAAGTCCTCTTCACTTTCACCAAGGAAGGTTGTATCATCTGCATATCGCAGGTTGTTAATGAGTCTTCCTCCAATCTTGATGCCATGTTTTTCTTCATATAACCATACTTCTTGGATTATCTGCTCAGCATGCAAGTTTAATAAATATGGTGAAAGAATACAATCCTGTTGCACACCTTTCTTAATTTAAAAACCATTCAGTGTTCCCATGTTCTATTTGAACAACTGCCTCTTGGTCCATGTATAGATGCCTCATGAGCACAAGTAAGTGTTCTGGAATACTTATACTTTGCAATGTTGTCCGTAGCTTGTCATGATCCACACATTCAAAAGCCTTTGTGTAGTCAATAAAGCACAGGTAAATATCTTTCTGGTGTTCTCTGCTTTCAGCCAAGATCCATCAGACATCAGCAATGATATCCCTTGTTCTACAGCCTCTTCTAAATCTGGCTTGAACCTCTGGAAGTTCTCTGTCAATGTATGATTGCAGCCATTTCTGTATTACCTTCAGCAAAACTTTACTTGCAAAGTAAATCAAAGAGATTGACCGATGATTTCCACATTCTGTTGGGTCACCTCTCTTTGGAATGGGCACAAATATGGATCTCTTCCAATCAGTTGGCCAGATAGTTGTCTTCCAAATTTCTTGGCAGAGATGAGTGAGTGCCTCCTGTACCGCCTTACTTTCTTGAAAGATTTCAATTTTGATTCCATCAATTCCTGGTTTCTTGTTCTTTGCCAATTCCTTCCATGCACCTTGGACTTCCTCCTTCAGTATCATTGGCTCTTCATCATATGCTACCTCTTGAAACGGTTCAACATCATCCATTTCCTTTTGGTACAGTGCCTGTGTATTCCTTCCATCTTCTTTTCATGCTTTCTGCATCATTCAATAATTTGCCCAGAGAATCCTTCAATAATGACAATCAAGGCATGAAATTTTTTCTTCAGTTTCCCCAGCTTGAGAAATGCTGAGCGTGTTCTTCCCTTTTGGTTTTCTGGCTCCGCATCTTTGCACATATTATTATAATATTTGACTTTGTCCTCTCAAGCTGGACTTCGAAATGTTCTGTTCAGCTCTTTTACTTCATTTCTTCCATTTGCTTTAGCAACTCTACACTAGAGCAAGTTTCAGGGTCTCTCTGACACCCATTTTGATGTTTTCCTTCTTTCTTGTTTTAGTGATCTTTTGCTCTCTTCATGTATGATATTCTTGATGTCATCCCAAAACTCTTCTGGTCTTCAGTCATTAATGTCTAATTCTTCATATCTGTTACTGAGATGATCTCTAAATTCAGATGGAATATGTTCAAGTTCATATTTTGGCTCTCATGCACTTGTTTTAATATTTTCAACCTCAGCCTGAACTTTCATATGCTCATTTGATGGTCTATTCAAAAATCTCCCCTTGGTCTTGCTTTGGCTGGTATGGATCTTTTCCACCATCTCTTTCCATAGATGTAGTCAATTTGATTTCTGTGTATTCCATCTGGTGAGGTCCATGTTTATAGTCATCTTTTATGTTGTTTAAAAAAGGTATCTGCAATGAAGAAATCATTGGTCTTGCAAAATTCTATTATGTGATTTCCAGCATCATTTCTATCACCAAGACCATATTTTCCAACATCTGATCCTTCCTCTTTGTTTCCAACCTTTTTATTCCAATTGCCAGTATAATTAGCAATACATCTTGATTGCATGTTTGATCAATTTCAGGCTGTAACAGTTGGTAGAATTCTTCAATTTCATCATCACTGACTTTATTGGTTGATGTATAAATTTGAATAATCGTGGTATTACCTGGTCTTTGTTGGAGGTGTTTGGATATTATCCTGGCACAGACAGTGTTGTGCTTCAAGATACATCTTCAAATGTTCTTTTTGATGAAGAATAATACCACTCCTCCACAATTTGTCATTCCTGGCATAGTAAATAAACCATGTGATAGATTTAAAATGGTCAATATAACTCTATTTCAGCTCACTAGTGCCTAGGATATTGCATTTTATGTGTTCCATTTCATTTTTACAACTTACAGTTTTCCTAGATTCATTCTTCGTATGGTCCATGTTCTGATTATTAATGGATGTTTACAGCGGTTTCTCCTCATTTTGAGTTGTGTCCCATCAACAAGTGAAGGTCCTTAAAAGCTTTACTCCATTTGCATCATCACAATCAACTCTACTTTGAAGTGGCAGTTCTTACCTGGTTGTATTTTGGGTAGCTTCCAACCTGAGGGCCTCATCTTCCGGCACTATATCTAACAACATTCTGGTATTCTTCATCATGTCTTAATAGTCAATATTCTGGTGCTATCTGACATTTTCCCACTACTATTCATAAAGTTTTAAGTGACTAAATATTCAGTAGTCTGCCTCTCCTTCTTCCTAGTCTGTAAGCTCAGTAGAAACCTGTCCACCATGGGTGACCCTGCTGTTATTTAAAATACTGGTGGCATAGATTCCAGAATCACAGCAACACACAGGCACTGCAGTATGACAAACTGACAATCGAGTGGTGTGTATACATTTGTAGATAATATGTTTTTATATAATTTGTGTAAATATATAAATATGATGAGATGGCCAGACAGGGAAGAAGGAAACCATTTATAAGGAATGAAACAAAGCAGGATTTTCTTCCATTTTGGTTTCAGTATCTGTCATTGCCTACATTCTTCCCCAAGAAATTTTAAAGCATACCAGTGAACCCTGTGATGCAGAGCCATTTGTAACTTGGATCTTTTGAAGAAAACGTCTTTTAAAGTGTCTTAAGGTACCAAGCTGTTGTTCCTAGTAATCTGGAGTGGTTCAGGTGCCTCTCAACTTCCAATGGAAGATTAAGGCTGTTGCTCATGAAACATTAGTCATTGCCATTGGCAGGGAAATCCTAAGTTCATTTCCAGGCTGGAAGCATCTTCTAGGGAGGCAGAGAGTTCCCTAAAGAATCTTGACAGTCACAGGCCAAGGCATGGAGGTCAGGAAGGCAAAGTCTTAATGTCATCAAAATGCAAAGGCTTAAAAGGGTTGGGAAAATGTAGGTGGTAGGAAAGTGATAGGATGGAGGGATGATGGAAAGTTGAGAGTAATAAACACAGAGGACATGAGTAAGGATGACAATAGGTAAAAAGGATCAATCAGGTAAAGCTCCTAGTCCATGCACCATTATTTTAGTAGGAATACATCCTTCTGGTTAATGGGATGAATAAAGGCCATAGATGGTTTTATCTTGAAGACTCACGTTATCTGTCACTGATGGTACTAATTACATATGATTTTGTAGGCAAACTAAGAATTGGCTGATGTTCAGTCATTTCAAGAAGTAACATTATGATCAAGAACCAATGGTATTGATCAAATGACCTATTTTATTAAGCACATCTGTTGCAAAAGACCTCTTTATAGTATTAAAGAGCAAATATAGCACTTTGAGGACTAAGGTGTGCCCGACCCAAGCAATCATGTTTTCAATTGCCTTATGTGCATGTGAAAGCTGGACACTGAATAAGGAAGACCTTAGAAAACTTTATGCATTTGAGTTATGGTGCTGGAGAAGAATATTAAAAGTACCATGGAATGCCAGAAGAACAAGCAAATCTGTTGGAAGACATACAGCCAAAATCCTCCATATAAATGAAGATGGCAAGACTTTGTTTCTTATACTTTGGGCATGTTGTCAGGAGGGACCAGGTCCTGGAAAGGGACATCATGATTGAAAAAGTAGAGTGTCAGAGAAAAAGAGGAAGACCCTCAACGAAATGGATTGAAACAGTGGCAGCAATAATGGGTTCGCACAGAACAAATGTGAGGTTGATTCAGGACCAGGTAGTACTTTGTTCTGTTGTGCACAGGGTTGTATTGGTCAGAACCAGCTCACCAGCACCCAACAACAACAACAAGGCAAATTATTCATTTTCCCCCACCCAAAGTTACCGGTATTTCATTCAAAGTATAATTTATATAGTGAAACTTTTCATTCACTGTTTATCTATCTTCAGAGATAGATGTCAAACAATATAGAAAGTGTGGTTACATCTGCAATTGATAGATATTCCTTTATCCTATATCCAGGAGCCACTTTCTACAATTTACACAGTCCCGGCAATATTGGAGGAAAAGAAAGTGTATAAGGATAATGTGGTTTACCTCAATTCTTTGATTACCAGTGGTTATACCAAGAGAGTGGACATCACATTTGTTCCACGGAGAGTAAGTACCCCAGAGCATGATTCATAATCATAATGTCATTCTTCAAGTGCCTTTTTTTTCATGCAGAACACCTAAACAAATACCCAAAGTTTATCTTTTATAGTATTATTTCTAAGTATATTTTTGCCAGGCTCTGCAGTTACTTCCAACTAATATGATCAATTTGTTTATCCCCCAAATTCTGTTACCATATATTCTTATTTCTATATATTGACATTTTAATTCTTGAAAGATTGAACTCTTTGTTGGTCAGTGCTATAGATGTTTAGTCACCAAATCCTATAGATGTTTTTGCTTGGTATTTCTCAAACTCTACTCTTCCTCTTTGTATACATCCTACCATCTCAGTTGATGTTTCATATCAGTCAAGCCTAGATTTATTCAGTAGTCTCCTAAAATGTCTACAATTAAATCTTTTGGGGATAAGAGTCATCATGCCAGTAACCATCAAACCATCTGAATAATAAGACTCTTATTTTCATCTGTCTTCCACTATGGAAATAATTTTGACCTCCACATGAGGCATAAAATTTGTAAACCCAAATGGTCTTCTCATTCCTTTGCTTCTCTGTATTGACATTCTAAAAAGGAATATCATCTGGTCCCAGAGTCCTCAGAGAGCTAACTGAAGAGCATTGTTATATTCAACCGTGCAAATATTTACCATCAGAAATAGTGATGCTTGTGCAATGATTTATACACTGTAAGAGAAGGAAAAAAGTTATATTAAATTTGAGAGTGTATTTGATAGCTGAAAATTGAAATTTGTCTTGAAAATTGTCTTGAGATGAGCATGTGTTCTGCCTGTCTTACTGTCCCTGACATGAGTGTGGCTATTTATTTAAGATTTGGAGTCCTGAAGCCACTACAGAAGAGCTGATCAGAAAGAGAGAAATGATGCGGGAGCGGTTCACCTATGAGGTGGACTTTGATGATTTCATGATGCCATTTCAGAAGAATATCATACAGAGAGCTCGGGCAGTGGAAGCTGCCTTCAAGTAGATTTTAATAAATGATTGGAGGCCCAGATACTGAACTTTGAAGCAAGAAGATACTTCCATCCCAGCCAATGTAATCCCAAAATTAATCCTTTTTAACCAGATATGTGTTTTGCTTTAACAACTATAAACATTCTAAGCTATTCTGGAAAAGATGTATTTTATTTTACAATGAATTGCATATTATTCTAGACAATGCCCTTAAACTACTTTTAGATTATAGTGACATAACTGGCAGTTGGGTTATACACATAGCATTATTATCTAAAATTTATAAGATTTAAAAAACTTTTTATTGTGAATTGGGTGAAGGTTTACAGAGCAGATCAGTTTTCCATTCAACAGTTCATACACATTTTGTTTCATTTCACTGATTGCAATCGCCACAATGTAACAACACTTACTTGTTGTCCCCCCATTTCCTGTTTCCATTCTTCCTTATTTCCTAGTCCTTTTGTACTTTATCCTTTTCATAACAAATGGTTGCTTATTCTAAAGTGAGCATATCTCCCTACTGTTATTTGTTCACTTATACATGTGTATGGAGTCCTGGTGTGGTGCTGTGGGTTAATTCTCTGGACTGTAAGGTCTGTTTGAACTACAAGGTCGGTGGTTCAAACTCACTAGCCACTCCTGGGAAACCCTATACTATGTCACTATGAGTCGGAACCAACTCAAAGGCACTTAGCAACAACAACAAAAATATGTGTACAGATGCCAAGTTGACAAGGGGTGAACTGTGATGGTTAATGTGATGACTTTGTGTCAACTTGCTTAGGCCACAATCCTCAGTGCTTTGGCAGACATTATATATCATCTTCCATTCACAGTCCACCACTTGATACCTATATACTCCTCTATAAATCATACTTAATATCTAAATAAAGAAAATTAGAAAATCACACTTATGCCTAACATGATACAACTAACATGCATACAACTTAAAATTCGCTAGTCCAATTTACACCTTATATTTTATAATAAGTAATGGGATAAAAGGAAATAGTTAATGTTCAACAATTTCAAGACATAGCATATGATCAAGAGCCAATGATACTGAAGGAGGAAGTCCAAGATGCATTGAAGGAATTAGCAAAGAACAAGGAACCAGGAACTGATAGAATACAAATTGAAATCTTTCAAGAAAGTGAGGCGGCACAGGAGACACTCACTTATCTCTTCCAAGAAATTTGGAAGCCAACTATCTGGCCAACTGATTGGAAGACATCCGTATTTGTGCCCATTCCAAAGAGAAGTGACCCAATGGAATGCAGAAATCATCCATCAATCTCTTTAATATCCCATGTGAGTAAAGTTTTACTAAAGGTAATACAGAAATGGCTGCAAGGATAGATTGACAGAGAACTTCCAGAGGTTCAAGCCGGATTCATAAGAGGACGTGGAACAATGGATATCATTGCTGATGCAGATGGATCTTGGCTGAAAGCAGAGAATATCAGAAAGATATTTACCTGTGCTTTATTGACTATGTAAAGGCTTTCGATTGTGTGGATCATGACAAGCTATGGACAACACTGCAAAGTTTGAGTATTCCGGAACACTTACTTGTGCTCATGAGGAATCTGTACCTGGACCAAGAGGAAGTTGTTCGAATAGAACAGGGGAAGACTAAATGGTTTAAAATGAAGAAAGGTGTGCAACAAGGTTGTATTCTTTCACCATACTTATTCAACCTGTATGCTAAGCAAATAATCCGAGAAGCTGGGTTCTATGAAGAAAAATGTGGCATCAGGTTTGGAAGAAGACTCATTAACAACCTGAGATATGCAGATGATACAACCTTGCTTGCTGAAAGTGAAGAGGACTTAAAAACATTTACTGATGAAGATCAAAGAGCACATCCTTCAGTATGGATTACATCTCAATGCAAAGAAAACAAAAATCCTCACCACTGGCCCAATAAACAACATTTTTATCAATGGAGAAAAGATTGAAGTTGTCAAGGACTTCATTGTTCTTGGATCAACTACCAACACTCATGGAAGCAGCAGCCAAGAAATCAAATGACGTATTGCATTAGGCAAATCTGCTGCACAAGACCTTTTTTTAATGTTTTATTGTGAATTATGGGATAGTTTACATGGGAGAATATTAATTTTACATTCATGCACAAGACCTTTTTGAAGTGTTGAAGAGCAAAGATGTCAGCTTAAGGACAACGTTGCACCTGACCCATGGTATTTTTCAATAACCTCATATGCATGTGAAAGCTGGACAGTGAATAAGGAAGACCATAGAAGAATTGATGCTTTTGAGTTATGGTGTTGAAGGAGAATATTGAAAGTGCCATGGGCTGCCAAAAGAATCAATAGATCCATTTTGGAAGAAGTGCAACCAGAGTGGTCCTTGGAGGCCAAGATAGTCAAACTTCGTCTGTCATACTTTGGACATATTGTCAGGAGGGACCAGTCGCTGGAGAAGGATATCATGTTTAGTAAGGCGGAGGGTCAGAGAAAAAGAGGAAGACCCCCAAGGAAATAGATTGGCCAAGTGGCAGCATCGATGGACTCAACTGTGGCAACAGTGGTGAGGTTGGCCCAAGATCGGGCAATGTTTCGTTCTGCTGTGGGTCGCTATGGGTCATTATCAACTAGATGGCACTTAACAACAACAGCAATGGGACAAAAAAGGAAGAAAACAGAGATTATATATATTTGTGCCCATTCCAAAGAGGTGACACTACGGAATGTGAAATTTTCCAAAAACATCACTAATATCACATGCAAGTAAAGTTTTCTAAAGATAATTCAAAAATGGTTGGAACAGTACATTAAGAGAGAGCTGCCAGTGGTTGGAGTCCTGGTGTGACGCTGTGGGTTAATGTGCCAGACTGCAAAGTCCTTTGAACTGCAAGGTCAGTGGTTCAAGCTCACCAGCTGCTCCTTGGAAACCCTATACAGAGTTGCTATGGGTCAGAATCGACTCGACGGCACTTAACAACAACAAGCCAGTGGTTGAAGCCAGATTCAGATGAGGACATTGTAAAAGAGATGTCATTGCTTGGCTGAAATCAGAGAATACAAAAAATATGTTTTACCTCTGCTTTATTGACTAAGGAAAGGCTTTCAACCATGTGAATCATGACAAACTGTAGATAACATTATAGAGAATGGGTATTCCAGAACATTAAACTGTGCTCATGATGAACCTGTGAATAGACTAAGGATGCAGTTGTTCAAACAGAACAAGGGAACATGGAATGGTTTTAAATTAGGAAAGGTGTGTGCCAGGGTTGTATTCTTCCACCCTACTTATTCAATCTGTATGCTGAGTAAATAATCCAAGAAACTGGATTATATGAAGGAGAATGTGACATCAAGATTGGAGGAAGACCCATTAACAATCTGAGATATGCGGATGATACAACCTTGCTTGTTGAATGCAAAGAGGACCCAATGTGTGGATCATGACAAGCTATGGACAACACTGCAAAGTTTGAGTATTCCGGAACACTTACTTGTGCTCATGAGGAATCTCATGTTCTGCTAGTTGCTGAGTATGTATATTCTAATTATCGATTCCAGAACCAGAGAAATTAGTACAGGATGGGTTTGGAACCCAATAGACCCACTGTGATGTGGACTCAAGCTAAGACATCATTAATAACCAGAATTCCTAGTGTGGCATTGTAGGATAAAGCACTAGACCACAAGGTTGATGTGAAGCACAAGGTCTGTAGTTCAAACTCACCTGCTGGTCCTCGGAAACCCTACACAGGGTCACTATGCATCAGAACCAACTCAAAGACAATCAATATGACTCTTCTCTACTGGTGAGCCACAGTGAAATTTTGGTCTCCTGAAATGAGTGTCAATTCGGAGTGTATAATCATCCCCTCAAAGTTTGATTATTTCTTTTTTCCCAATGAAGTCACTCTCACAAAAGGCCATAGCTCCCTTTGAGGAAAGCTAGTATAAAAAATAACTATATACATTTTTGGAAGTGTCGTGGGGTCCTTCCTCAAGGAGACCCAGCCTCCCCTTTATTCAAGGGGCTATAGGCCTGTAAACTGGCTCAAGTCTGGAGACTGACTGAGGAGTCATTACTCTCTGTTCTGACAATTCACCTCACCTAGAATTCTTTTACTTGTACAGATTAAGTAAACATTTTAGCATGTTTCTCATCTGTTTCATTCTTGAGGACACCATGAATAAGAAGCCAATGCCATAAATTCATACATGTCAGACTATTCTAATTACTGCTTTGACTCTATTGGTCACTACGGTAATCACACCTCCCTTATCTTTGGTGATTTGTGACACTGGGCCCCTGGCACCCCTGAGTCCAATCAGTCCCATATTAGGTATCTTAACTCAGAGCAGATCCCACTGTCAAATCTGACCTTCCTAAAACAGCAATCACAGAAGTTTTTAAGGATGCTGGGGCTTCCATAACTAATTTATTCCTCACAGTTGTGCAACATGTGACCTCAGGGCATTTCCTGGATGGATCCAAGAGTCCAACCTGAAAAACCCACTTTAACATGCCAATTTCCCTAAGCCTTTGGATACCTTCTTCTACAGCATACCAAAGCAGTTCTGGCATTTCAGCGTAATTTTGTGTAGACCATGATTTCACCAGCCAACTAAATAAAATATTAGATCCTTCTCTAACTTCTTGAACTGAAACACTAAATGAAGTATCTGTACTTATTGAATTCAGACTGATCCAACTTTATGTCACATTGTACCATTATCCCACACTCTTTAATAGCCATTTCCAGGTTTCTTTTTGTATATATTTTAAAAAGCAAGCAGTTCTTTTGGAGTACATTGTTGTTAAGTGCTATCGAGTTTGTTCTGACCCATAACGACCCTGTATCAGGTTTCCAAGGAGCAGCTGATGAATTTGAACTGCCAAACCACCAACCTTGTGGTCCATAGTCCAGTATTTATCCTGCAGGAGTCCTTTTGGAATGTAGTGTATCTCTTATTGGGTCACATTTTATATTTTACCTCATGCGGTTTATGGGGACGTAAGTCT